GATTTATCCGTCTAAGCCATTGCTAGCCACGGGGTTAAGCGTCGACGACAACCCTCCGAACCCTAGGGGCAACTGTGACAGTAGTCTTAGACATATATTCAGCTTAAGCGAATTCACACGGATCGTTTGGTAAACGAACGGTTTATAGCGGCGCGCAGGAATGATTAATGTAGGATAATGATTTATCATATATGTACTCGTGCGTTTTGCTGCTGATGTTGATATCTTTATTACCGATGGAAACACGGCAATATCTGTTTACACGATGGCTTTGCTTGGCCACTCGCGTTGAAGGGTGAAATATCTATAAAAGAAGTACAGTGGATTGGAATATTGAAAACAATTAATACACTTATTTTGCACTTTATGTACGTTTTCGTACTTTTATTATTTAGCATATAATAAAACGTTTGAATATTTGAGATCGGTTAGACTTTACGCAGACATTAGGACTTGAGTAAAATCCCCATAAAATAATGCGGTAAGAACCCTCGTAACTCTATCTTGGAGGTAGAATATCTTTAGAAGATTTGCCTCAGGTAAGACATAAGAAAATAAAACAAAAAATAACACAAAAGGCAGTGGACGATCAAAAGTGAAAGAAGTATTGCATCTACTGTGTAAAGTGATCCGAATTTTTCCCGTCGCCCTGACAAAATGAAAGGAAAGTATCGATATATTATTTTTGGAATAGTACTCCGTAACACTATACAACCCATCGGCGAGAATCGAGACGTTATGGTATCGAATTAGTCAATCGGACGCGTTGTGTCGACGGTCGGTCGAATCGGTGCCAGTAAGGTTTCCGTGGGCAGGCTTTGGGGAATTTTTTCGTCGGTCTCGTTTTTATTGTGAACTTTCCACCGCTTAAACTTGTGTAACATTAACTTTGCCAAGTCATCTGTGTACTTCTGCTGCCCTGATTGCAGGTGACGGGTGCGTCTTGTAATAAATACGATTGTAATTTTAACCGCCTCCAACGTTATTAATGGAAGTAAAGGCTCCGGTTATGGATTTATTAAAATTTCAGAGATTTTCCCTTATCAGAGAGCTCTGTGAGGTACTGGAAACGATGTTGAATCTTAATTAGTTTCTTAATCATTGCTAAATTCTCGTTCTGTGGGAAACTATACTGCACGTTGGTAAATCTAATGAGGTTATCGCTACCGTCAGGGAATATTCGCACGACTCGGGATTTGATCTCTCGACTCACCGTCATCAATATACAAAGTACGTTCATGTATCACTTGCAGATATAGAAACATTGTCGACCGCCTGTGAAATAGAGACAGCGCACACGCCGTCCGATTTCTATGGGGGGATAAATAAACGGTTGTCGTTGGTAAGCGGAAACTGGATTCTGTAACAAATTCCGCGATACAATTGTCAAGTGAGCAGTAAGTTGGCGCGAAGTTACGCTGAGTTAGCCCAGAAACTTGAGCGTGGGCGCGTAAAGCGTGACTAATGCGTAGGGGCTGTTAAACTGTGGTCATTGTGAGGTTGCTCAGGTACTTTACCACTTGCTGAAGACTTTACGACGAGTGAAGGTAGCTGGTGACTGTCGACTCTGGAACCTTCTAGTCGTGTCTGATATTCTGACGACTTTGGTGCTTTCTGTTATTGACGATAATTTTTATCTATGTCATCTAACGACCCTTGACGAAGCTTTACTAATTTAATACATTCTTTATCAGCGTAATGCATCACATGCGGAGTGTTTCTTTTGCCAATTGACATTCTAGTAACTATTATAATAACATATTAGGGAAATTTTAAAATTTAATTAAGATTAACTAATTTTCATCACCTCATGCAAATTTGTTTGTATGTCACGCCTCTGAATTTTTTACTGCTTTTAAATTCATGTTACTTCTACACGTATGTTAGAATTATTCGGCAATGAAGGATTGTTGTCACTACACTAAGATGAGCCTTAAAAGGAACGAACATTATTGTATCACTTCTTCCTGGTTTAAAAAGGCTACACAATCTTGTTAATACTATATATAGCAGGGCGTTTACGATGAATGTGATATATTATGTATCTTTCTAACGCTTTGTGGTTCAGCGGTTAGTTAAGCCATAAGTATCAGATTAGATTCCAGTTAGGACTTTAGCGGAACTATCGAACCGGTTCCTTAACACTGTTTTCATTCTGAAGATATTTTACGAAACGTAAAGAATTATTCATTTCGAAAAGAGCGCATTGGTGACAGCTGATTTGGTTTAATCCAAATTTCAGACGATTCAAGCCTAATTGGAACCGTTATAACAACAAGCAACAACAAGTTTTAATGCAGAATATTTTATGACGTAGTATTTAACGCTTCTACGAAACCGATGGTATTACGTGATAGGGGGAATATTGATGATCAAAAGAATAATGTAACCATTTGAGAGAGGTTCATAAAAGCGACGGCAATCGTGTGGCCCGTCGATAAACAATGCGCGAACACGTTCCGAGGCAATAGCTGGGCGGTGATCGTACTGCAAGCAAAAAAGCCTATTAGCGAGGTCGTCTATGGGCAGTTATAGTGTCTCACTCCGCCATCAGCCGTGCTTCACATCAATAACTAGCGGGAGCTAACGGCCCCCACTGACTAATGCGGTAGTCGCGGGCTGCGGCTAAGTGCATTCTACGCTGCTAAGTGGGCCCTGAATTGATGGGGGACTCCGTACGTTTAAGATATAGATTTGTGTTCGCGTGTCGGTTTAGTCGGATGCAAATTTAGAGCTGCGCCGTAGCGGATTTGAGCGTTTCGCGGGCAGCGGCACTTCTGAGCGATTTCCCGTGTCCCACCGCTGAATATGCATTGCTCCTAGCACAACGGGGCGTCGTTCATGTTATTATGCATAGCCCTTTGTAAGCTATTTAATGAAATCAAATAAAAAAAGTTATAAAACTCTGGAGCTTTCTTTATTTCCGTATCGCTTCGTCGGTGAGTACTGTTAATAATGTTGTTCTGTTGTTTGTACTGTTCATAATGTTAGTTGCGAAAGAAATTTGAAAATTTTGAATGACTTACATACGGTGTAAATTAAACTTTTTAACATTTTGATCGACTAATTATCATAGCTTAGTTACTTTTTATTAAATTATACAAATATCATAATTATTTTAATAATTAAATACATACAAATATCATGGCATCTATTGTTTTCTTTTATATCGGGGATATAAACGCACGATATAAACGTAAACTTCATTTAAAAGATACTAGTATAATACTAGCAGTGGCAGCCTCGTACTGGCCATCGCAGTGTAGGACGACCCCCCACTAGATGGAGTGACGACCTGTGCAAATGTGCGGGAAGTCGATGGATGCAGGTGGCTCAGGATCGTACTTCGTGGCAGTCTATGGGGGAGGCCTATGTTCAGCAGTGGACTCAAACAGGCTGAAATGATGATGATGATGATAATACTAGCCACCAAACACCATTTTTAATGTTGTGAGAATTAATTTAGAGATTAGAAATATTAATAATTACTAAAAAAAAAAAAAAACATATATATTTCAATACATGTGTCGAGCAACAAAATCCACCTGAATCCGTAACCGTTATGGGAACATTTACGCCACCTAACGCGGTTAGGTTAGATCCAATATCGTTTCTGAACTTTCCATTTAACCCACTAACGCTGGAATCGGGTTACTTGGAGGCGTTGGATCGTTAGACTGCGGTGTTAATTTACGTTTTGAAGTTTCATTAAGCCGTATCTCTTCTACCGGTGAACCTATTGGCGCATTATAATTAAGTGTCGTCAGTTCTGCTGTTATGCCCGTAAGTTACAAAACTCCTTTTCTGGTCCATTGCGATTTGTTGATGCAGATTGTTTTGCGCGCAGCGTTCTCAAGTTGGGGTGTCGACGTCTTACTAATCGGCAAATGTTGTTTTACTGAGTTGGATGGTCATATTGACCTCCAATAGATGGAGTGACGACCTGTGCACGTGTGCGGGAGGTCGATGAATGCAGGTGGCTCAGGATCCTACTTCGTGGCAGTCTGTGGGGGACGCCTATGTTCAGCAGTGGAATCAAACAGGCTGAAATGATGAAGATGGTTTTATTTCCACATGTCTACTGGCATGGTTTTGTTACATAGCTATTAAACACCTTTGTTCAGATGCAATTTGAAATTTAGTTATTCTAAATTCCAATATTTTTATTTATAAATTTAATTTGTCATCTATTAATAAATTTAATTTATAAAGGTAGCGTGCTTTTAATCCCGATTTATTGACTCTCACCAAGAAGTTTAATATGTGAAGTAATGAATGCTAATTGTTTTCTCTGAGTGCGGAAGTAAGCAGTAGTGTTTAAAAAAACTTTCCTTTAATAAGCATTTCTTTTTACGAGCCCTCGCGTAACGGCTCGGCAAAAACTTGATAACTTGCCAAGTGGAAAGCTACAATCTTAAGTACTATCATCGCGGCGTAAGGCTTATTAAGGTCTAAATGTGAGAGGTGCTGATCTTGTCGCCATTCATCGGGTTTGAGACAGTGATTTTTATACAGAGATATCCCAAAAACTAAAAATGTTGTTTGTGCAAGACACTGGGATTCCAAACACAAGCCATTAAATTCCAAATACAAGCCATTAATTTTAAGAATTTTTGTTTAAAGAAAGCCATTTCTATGGATATTGTAGAACAGTGATCACACAAATGTGAAAGGTTTAGAGTTATAATGTAAAAATTCATCTTTAAAATCATCTCATCTAACATTTTTTGATCGAAATGAGCATAAAAAAAAAAAAAAAATTAGGTAAAATTTCACTTTAACAGAATTGCAAATAGCTCTTGCTGAAATGTGAATAAAACGTTATAATTTAGCGCGAACGGCGTTCCGTGGAACCTCAGACTGAGTGTAGTCGCCGATTGTTATTAAAACAACAATGACTCCTCGGTAGCACAATGAGAGATTGCGCTCGCTTAAGCCGGATAAGCCCGGTCATATCTCACACACGCCCACTGAGGGGCGAACTCCGCCGGCCCGGACAAATGACGCGCGATTCTTTGGCCGCTCGTCTACTGGGAACCGGCGCGGATTCTGGAATGAGCCGTTTGTGCGGGCCTTTGAAAAGGCCGGATTATAACGTGATTGTGCTCCGTCGAGAGGAATGTCGGGTGCGCGGATCTAGCGCGGTCGGTGCGGTGGGCTTAGCACGCGGATTTTCGGCGGCGGCGGATCCCGGCAATAATACAAAGTGGAGAGTTTTATTTTCTCATTATTTAAGTTTACTTTAGGTGTAGCCCCGTGATATTATAAGAATACTTTGCTTTAGCAATAAAGAGAAAGTAAAGTAAGAGCCTGTAAATGGCCCACAGCTGGGCAAAGGCCTCCTCTGTAAACAGGGTATCAGGGCATAGACCACCACGCGACCCCACTGCGGATTCTTCTTACGGACTTCACACATTTTTTCGAATATTTCTTTTATTATTTCGAAAATACGCAGGTTTCCACACGATGTTTTCCTTCACCGTCGAGCACGTGATAAGTCAGCAGTTCAGAATCAACAATTTGATTGGTGCTGGCACCGGGGATCGAACTCAGGGTGCCCGAGTAAATTCATTTGAAGGCGAGCGCCAGGACACTGAGCAATCACGGCTCGGCTTTATTAGTAGCTAATGTAAAAAGTCTTTTCTGACAAGAACAAAACCTTAGTGTTAATGTCGTTAATTTTTTTGATTATAACACACTGAGTAATCAAATTACGATGCACTAACTTTATGACTTTGAACAAACAGTAATTTAATCAATATTGAAACTGCAACTGCTTATTATATAAAAAAGTAATAAAAGACGAAATAATTAAAGAAAATACAGAAGTAAACATTAAACACGTGGTCGCTGATTTTTTGATTTTTTTATCATAATACGATTATTAAAATTTCTATATCATTTAGATAAAACACCTGGCTCTTAGGTTTTAGTCGTATCAAGGTCACGGCGTGGAACAATCGAATATCGGGACCGATATTTCCGGTTAAAACTAAATCTAACTCGAGTGCTTTCCTCGGAGAGCGTCGGCAAGCGGGATAACCTGCCTCTGCAACCTTTTTCTGTTTTTTTCGTCCACACGATTCAAATCAATCCACCTTATCGGCCCCACTTTAGAGTCCAAATTCAAACGGCACGCGTTCCCACAAGCATCAACTGCACTCACTCTTATTTAAATAAGGTAGTCAGTGCGTGAGAGGGATGGATGCAAGTAGTGATGCGCGTGGAAGTGGGAGCAACTATGGCGATGTTGCCGCGCTTTTTAATAGTGTTGAAACCGTTGCTTCATGTCGATAATTCACTTCGACCGATATTCTAGATACGAACATAGATATTTCTACACAAACTTTTTTTAATTTCCAATGCATACACTGACATCAAATGTTTCATATCTGTAACACGTAACTCTTTAAATCTTTGTGCGTTACTTAAACAAACTCGTTACATCTTGTACTCTCAAAACACAAAAAAATCCCCGTACCTCTTTTCTATACTACTTTCGAAAAGACGTGCGTAATAGTATCTCGTCTTATCTATCGAGTGTCAGCCGTGTATCGATATCGATACGAGAGTCACGGCATCACTAAGCGCCAGATGGTGTGGACAGGCCGCGAGCCGACAAGTCGAATTCGGCCCGGGCGGAATTCTTGGCGTCGCCCCCGCCTCGTGACGCATGCCCGCCGCGGATGCCGCGGAGTATTTGGGCAGTGCGGTCTCAGCATTCACACCTCTTTGGATCGGGAAGTGTTCCAGGCCGCTGTGCTTGGCTGGGCGTTCGAACGCCACCGTACTGTGTTGAATGGCGGCTGGCGGAGACGCACTAATTGTAGACACGAACTTCTGACAGTACGTACGCTGCCTTCTCCCGGTCCAACGGTCGAAAAGGCTCGAATTGAATTCCGAATATGTGGTCCTTCGATAGAGGCTTTCTGTATGGAAATATGTGAGCTACCAAATGATGATATAAATGAAAGATTGAAGATTGCTTTCATAAGAAATCGACTTGGTTTGCCGAGCGTAGTATATTAAAAAAGAAGATCATGCATTATTGATTCGGGTATTACGCAGAACACTATTCTACACTATTTTTTGTGCTAGTCTTTGCTCTTAAGATGAAACTTAATATGTGTAGATAAATTATCGAAACGTTATGCCTAAAAGTATTTCGTAATGATATTATTGTTATATATATATATATATATATAATTTTAAGCGATTACTGGCATTTATGAAATTACTTTGAAATTATCACACCCCCGGTGGGGGTGTGGCCCAGAACTTCACTCACCTGACGAAACGCAATAGTTTAAAAATTCTACTTCACGCCAACTCCTAAGTGGTTGAGGCAATACCCCGGTGGGACCTACCCATTCGTGCAACAGCGAAGACTTGCGTGGCCATACCAAATTTCAAATATATTTCATCAGATCACTTAAAAACAATACCCACGCGACCACATATATGAATATGTGTTCAATTACTTTTGATTCGGTACAATTTTATTTGGAAGATTCGAAGAACGTACTACCGTCGAAATTCCCAGTGTTAATTGCTTCCTTGGACCGCGCGCTGCCCCAATGCAAACAATATAAAAATGTCTGGGGGCTAAGGCTTGCCTTCTTCATTTACACTGTTATGAGGTGCAAGATAATAGGCCAGATTTAGGAGTCGTGTGAGGGAGTGGATTTAATACAATGCACTGGTAAAAGCTTTCCGTGCCGTAGGGCATCTCTTCTTATCTCCCACTAATTTTCGGTGGCATCCCACGGCGATAACTCGAAATGGATTGTCTTTTACTTAGTGCTACGATAGTCACATCGGTTTATCTTGGAATTCTTTGTTTCGAGTTTACTCGTTTACCTTCGCTCGTAGACGGTTAACTTTTAAAAGGCAAACGTTAATTGGTGTTGTTGTCGACTCTAATAGAAGGAATTGAACGGGAAATTTTTAAACAAAGTCATTACGCTGTGATATGAAGAGATGTGTTTTTATAAATACTGTAGATTTAAAATTTGTGGATCGTCAATTAATAACTGTACAATTTAATTGAGTAGATTAGGAGCGGAAAAAAATTGTATACTATCCTTAGATTGCTATTTCTGAATATAAATACAGCGATGCATTCAAAGTGGGGAAGAAGTTAGAAGTTGATTGACTAACGCTTTTAATATTGAACAGCGCAATGTGAGACAAGAACCAATAAAAGTACGATACGACTTGATTAGTCTAGAGCGACTAAAGCAATATCAAGAATAAGGAAAGCGGTTGACAGCGCGCAAATAAGACAACTCGCGCCTGTGGCTCGGTAGCTGGCGATGTTTGCTCAGCCATTAGCACCTCGCGGGTTCTAAACGGTCCTCCGTGCCGATACGGGCACACAATAAAAACCGTTTCGACCCGTCCATTTTGGATTGGAGGCTAAGAACAAAGGGCAAATTAATGCCGCCGCTCCTCTTAATTGGGCGAAATATTCGAGCCCCGGTGAACCCTTCGTCTATTCCGCCATTATTTACATTAGCGAGGATCGTCTATGACTGGCGTTGTTGTTCCCCCACTAATGCCCGGTTCCCATATTAAACGAACGGAAGATTCATAGAAAATTTCATAGAAAGTGTTATTAATATTAACAATAACAAATGTGTCAAGCTTAAATTCTAAGTAATTAAATAATTCTGTAGTATAATCTAAAAGATAATGTCTAGTATTTTACATTTTTTAACGTGACATTGAATTATTTTATGTTTATTTGAGTCTCCATAACACATATGCATATATTTGTATTTACTTGCATAATAAACTCCGACCCGGGCTAACAGCGCACGTAGAGTCATAAAAACGTTAAATATGAGTTTCTTTTATATTTTCGAGAAATCAAAAAATCATCCCACGTATGTTGAGGACGTAAACACGTACAGGGCAACTCTGAACTTACGATTCTACCACAAAAAAGGTATTCAGGATGTCGTGTCGTCGTAGTAAAATATTTTTATTATTAAAACAATAGCCGTGTGTGTCCCAAGTGAAGTGATATGGCAGTTACACCGTTCCATTCCGATAAATGTAAAGATTTCTAAAAAGATGAAATTTAAAATTAACTTCACTACATAGCATTAAACAAAGTTGTCACGCTGTCTGTCTGTCCCTATGTATGCTTAGATACTTTAAACTACGCAGCGGATCTTGATGCGGTGTTTTTTACTAGATAGAGTGATTCAAGAGGAAGGTTTATATTTTTTATACATTGCACCCGTGCGAAGTTGGGACGGGTAGCTAGTAACTAATAAAGCAAAAAGTCATTTAATTAAATTTTAGCTTGAAGTTTAAAATTCCAAAAAACTAAAACTTAGTAGGTACATTTAAAATTTGTGTGTAATAAAGACTATGATTTTTGGAGTTTAAATAAACCGAAGTTTTTTAAACATTTTAATTTCGGCAACTCACAAGATTCTACCGAGAACACGCCACTTTCTGACGACCCTCTACCACCCGTGACTTGCACCCGCCGCAATGCAGTTCCCAGTAGAGTATATCTGTTGAGTTTATCATACACGTTCATCTCGCTTCGTGTACGCTGCGCTCTCTTGGACTGCTCGGAGGTTATGAGAGGATTTAGGAATTTGATGATGCCTAGATGATTTAAGCCCCGGCGTTGTGGCATCGAGCCGTGCACGGTTATACAGCCCGGTCTGCAGTTCGATTGTCCGTACGGGGAGTTCCTAACGGGAATGCAATATTCGCGCGATTCGAAAGAACACAACATTTTCAGCCGACTCCGAAAAAAGAGGAGTTTCTCAATCTTGTGCTTACTTTTGTTTGTTACTTCGTCATTTATGAACCGATTTTAAAAATTCTTTTTGCGTTAGCTTCTGTTCAGCTCCGATGTGGTTACATATTAATTTTATTGGTATTGCAGCTTGGACTTCAGAGATGCATCATTGAACACCCCAAAATCAAATAGTAAAAAAGGTACTATTCATGAAAATGTACCCTTTTTTTCTAAACACTGTCCTTACTTTAGGATAACATTATCCTTTGTTGTAAGGACATTTAACAAACATAAAATTTACGTCGACAAACACCCAAATGCGAAACAGTTGTCTGTGGGTCACACAAATAGTTGTCTTGTGTGTGAATCGAACTCACATTTGAGTTAATCAACACTACATATTCACTATTTAACTTCCAGTATTCACAAGGTTAGACCTTTAATACTATTATCTTATCGGAACGTGTATTATTTTCATAGGTATTCTTATTTTGTTGTCAGCTCTTTTGATTAAAACAGTAAAGGCCGCCTGAACGTAAAACGGGCAAGTTAAGTAGCCCACATTCCAAAGTAAACAGTACCTACGCAACATGATTATAAATCTATTTATCAAATCTCGAAATATCGACATTATCGACAAAACCTTCCCGATCGATATAAAGCGCTAATGGCGTACAGATTATGATGGATGACTTTCTTGCAATAAATTTATACAAACTGAAAATTATATCCAGTGTGTATAGATTCATATTCAATGAATATTCAACTATTTTTTAGGCTTCGGCGTCGGGGGTCGTGGGTTCGATTCCCACACGGGACAACTATTTGTGTGTCCACAGATAGTTGTTACGCATCTGGGTGTTTGTCCGCGTGAAATTTATGTTTGTAAAATGTCCTTACAACACAGGATAATGTTATCCTAAAGTAAGGGCAATGTTTTTAAAAAAAAAAGAGAAAAAAAAAATAATTAACAGCCACCCTCATCACGTCTTTTAACATAAACACAGATAATGCAACCTTTCCTCAAAGCGACTGCAGTAAATAAACGTTTTCATTCATTTCCACAGGTAAGCGCCAGATATCATCTGCGGTCAAAAGTTATGACATTCCTTCGCGGTACGCTGTCGGGGGTGAGTGATATTAATAAATTCCAATCGCGTGCACTAACTGTAAGCGATGTGTGGGAACTTTTTGCATGTGCCTAGAACTTAGTATGCCGGTACGTGGCCGTATTGATTTCAAACTGTTAGTATGTTAATTGTCTCCGGCTAAACTCGCGAGGTATTCATTTTGTTTCTATTGAAAGCAACACGTAACAAAACGCAGGTCGTCACGTCTAAGTTGCGGAATGTTGAATATTTAATCGCTTTTCTAATATGCATATTCCCCAATTATTGAGTTTTTAAGATTACGAAAGTCAACCTTGCAGACCCGAAACTGGCGTGTGAGACATATTTTTTCCCATAAAAATAGAACCTCATTGGTTCACTGTGTTTTTCCACTTTATGCTACTGCTATAACAGTAATTTCTGTATATGAAATCTTATAAAACTAATTACTGTATTCTTAGCATTTTTATACAATCACGATGACTTTTCTATTTTATATTCATAAAAATGTTACTGGCTCGAGAATATTAGAATTAAAACTAATATTATTGCATTATCAGTGTAGGTTTTATATGGTTGGCTGCAATACACTAACAGTTTCGTGAAGTTAATAGGTTCCATGCCCGGGCAAAGCATCTGCTAAAATAATAAATGTCGCTAATAGGGGATCATATTTGCTCATTTAAATAATGTGAAAATGAAAAAAACTTATTAAAATGTTATAAAAGGTAATGAACATTTATGAAAACAATGTCCAGGAACGATACTAACGAAATTTATAAGTCAAGAATAATTACAACAATAAAAGATGTCGACCTGTCTCTATTTTCAACCGATTTCAAAAAGGAGGAGGTTTCTCAATTCGACCGTATATATATACTTTTTTTATGTGTGTTCGGCGATAAGTTCGTTATTTATGAACCGATTTTGATGATCCTTTTTTTGTTGGAAAGGAGATATCCCAAGGGTGGTGCCACGAAACCTAGATCTGATGATGGCATCCCAGAGAAATCGAGGGCAATCCTCAGATGTTATAGGAGTTGACAATGTTGTTTTACTTTCCGCCTTATTGAAGTCGGCGGTTTTTTTGTTCAAAATTATCATAATATTAATTACTGTTTTGTTACTGCAAAGCCTAATAGGCTACAGCCATGATTTTTTTTTATTTCAGAAGATGGAAACATTTACTACACCATGTAGATGCGTTGCCAGCTTTAATGAAGTGGCCTCCGTTTACTTCACTCACCAGACGAAACGCATAAGTATATAAATCTTCCACTTCACGCGGTCTTCTGTGGTATGACCACGCAACAGTTTCACTGTTGCACGAAAGGGCTGGTCCGTTCGGGTTAGTACCCGGACCCCATAGAAGACCAGCGTGAAGTAGAAGTGTTACACTTCTGTGTTTCGTCTAGTGAGTGTGGTAGCCTTGGCCCACATTATTTAAAGGTGGCAACGCATCTGCATCCATACAGGTGTTGCAAATGTCCATGGGCGGCAGTTATCACTTAAGATCAGGTGAACCGTCAGCTCGTTTACCACTCTCTCACATAAAAACAGTTGGCTCTACCACTGTTGTTGTTAGTTTTTTTATGTTTTGACAGACTCGAAGAGAAGAGAGAGTACTGATAATTTAGCGGGATTTGTTTTAAAAAATGGCAAACAATATAATGTACGAAATTTAACAAAACAACAGATGAAATTATGAGGCAGATAGTGCATCTGACTTTAATCTGTGTTCATATTTTCATCGCGAACAATTTAGTATATCATTCAAATTTGCCCCATTACATTCAAATTACCAACCCGACACAAACGCGAACGTCAACAAGCGTCGCCCGCGAAACGTCCTAATCGATCCGGTCGAGGAAGGGGTCTTAGATACGTTGGACCCACCGCCGGGGGTCCCGCCGGATAACACTACACCCACAGCTAGTGTAACAACAAACACAATAGTTCGCCCTCGCCTCCGAGCACGGCGAGACCATCACAACGCGTACACAAGGTACACCCGCGTTCCAGGGCGGTTCTCACCGCCCCCAGCCACCGATTAGCTAAAACACAGTCGACGGCCATCGGGGTCTCGATCCGCACCGCAACTTCGATGGCCCTTAGACGACATGTCGTAGTTAAACGCACGCATGAGCACATGCGCGGCCCTACCCACAGCGGAGGGCCCAAACCCGTGGGTTCTGGCTAGCCCACCGGTTCTGCGTTAGATGAAGCTTTAATAGTCTCGGGACTGAAAGCAAAAACATCAGTTTATACAAGATACAAGAAACCCATTACATTATAGTTTACGCGGAAGCACAACTGTTCAAATACTGCGTCCTCAACACCCTTTTGGGAGTTAATTAAAATAATTGTCTGTCTGTAATTGAAATTGCATGTTGTTCTTAACCTGAGTTTATGTTCATCTTGTATGCTATTTCTAAAACATGTAATTTTGTAGATAGACCTTAATAAAAAAGTAAATAAATAAATAAATAAATAAACGATACACCCTATCGTTGCAAATGCATCGTGTTTAAGCTTCTGCGCGCAAAAAACTGTTTCTTTGTAATAATCGTTACTTTTCCCTTAAAGGAGTTAACGCGCGAAAAGAACAACTTTATGGACCCATAAGGCCATCGTTGTAAAAGCATCGCAGTGTATGCCAATTATTTTGATAGTTTACAAACCGTTATCGTAAAAAAAAACTTGTCGTCGTTTGGCTATTTCAATTATTTAACATATACAAGGAATATCTTTAGCAAATTGACAGCGACGAATGTTTTGTGTAATAAAGACTGTAATGGCGAATATTTCAGCGTTTTTTACCGTGCCTCTTAGACTAATGGATTGATTGCCTATTTCCAAAAAAATATTTGAGCCTCGCATTATCGTTTTGTTTACGAACTCCACTTACTAAATAGTATAAACACACAATTCAATCAAAATTCATTCTCAGTTTAAACTCTGTTCATCAAAATAGCGTCACGTATTATTACTTCTAATTACAGTTTCTAAATAAATATAAATATCCTGTGAAACATAAGGGTGAAAAACATATTTCAATGTGAGTTATTATTTTAACAATGCATTGTTCGGTTCCTACTGTTTATTTTTCCGTTATGGATATTACTATACTCCCGTGTACCGTGTTCTACGTACACAGTGAACACTTGTGTACACACGTTTAATATTAGCTATTGTATGAAACAAGATCTTGTTCATTTTACTTCATGTTACCACCTTGTGATAGAAAAGCAAAAGATCTTTAATTTTTTTTATTAGTTTTTTTAATTTTATTGAATTTGCGGTTCTTCTTATTAACGGTAACATAAAAACAATTAGACCATCGTTTTCAGTCTCTGGACTGAAAGCACAAACATCAGTTAATACAAGATATAAGATACCATCGTTTTGTAACTGCGTACGTAAAAATCGTTTTCTTCCTTCACTTCTATTTTGAAGTAGACAAATGGTATAAGTTTTTTTTGACAAAACAAAAATACGCTCGGTCTATCGTATGATGTTAGGATGATACGAAAGTTGGAAGCAGCCAAAAGTATAAAGCTATAGGTAAATCTAAGCGGCGAGCCTTGGTCGAAGAGGAATCATAATATTTACCCTCAATACTAAACCGTTGTCGAATTGAAATTATTTCTACGTCGCCCGTTTGTAATAACAATGGAATGAGGTATTTTTATTGTGGTTCCCAAAATGCCGTACAACGCCTCACCATTCATTAAAATACATAGGAGCTCTAACAAATGACGTTGCATTCCAGTCCGTTCTTTAATATAGCGGAGTGCTTGACAAAAATCCGTCTCTGTTCCTTAGTACGCGTTATGAATAATAAAGCCGGTGTGTTTGTTTGTTTGTCTAAGCTGTCGAGGTGTTAATGCCGAGTCTTCGCACGTATTGGGAGATATGAATTATTGATTAGGCGGCGCTAGGCTACGTCACGGGACTCGTACCGCTCGAAGTTATAAGGAAATATCTAATTAATATCAATATGGCAATGTTTAGATAGTCTGGACCAGTTAATAATCGTTATCTGGCAATACTTGGATACGCCAAAATAGTGATGGACTGTATTAATTAGTTCCTGGCTATTTTTTTATATTTAATTTGATTCGGAAAGAAGGTGGGATTTAGCAGCAGAAAGAGGAAGGACGTAAATCAGGCTACGAATGTTTTTAATGACGAATAATTTTAATGTTATTAAGAAAATATAAGTATCTTAAGTAATATTAATTAAAATTTGTCGGTTCCATAAAGAACATCGTGTCATCTTTATCACTTAAGTAAATGTGTGCAAAGATATGCCATTATACTGCTGATATAGGAATATAGACTGCCAAAAATGTGTACTATGCATTAGTAAAGTCCAATGGCTAATCATCATCGTCGTCATCATTAATACACATCAATGCATAGCTAGGATTAGACCGCCTTGAACTGTTTGAGTTTTCCTCCATATTAATTTTCAAGGTATTTGTTATAAAACGTATTACATTAATAAAAATCAGGAACGCTACCAATCACGCGATAGGCGCGTTACGTCTGGCAGTTAATCTTCATTTTAACCGAACACGAGCTCGTATATAACACGGGCATTTCCAGGCACCACAGCAGTCAAGCTGGACGTTTTATATCGCGAGCAACGTCGCTCTGGACGCAGTTAATACGTTCCAACTCGGCCATCCGTCTTCCGCTAGCGGCCGGTGGGTGTATTAACTAAGCGATTAGGTCCGTACGTAAGCGTGGCAGGATCTCGTTCGGAGCTGTTCTCCCGCCAACAGGTTCCGCGACATTTTTACTCGATTACACGCGATTGAGGGTGTTGTGTAGGTGTTGGATTGCCGAGGTTTTCGCTCCCCCCCCCTGCTCAGCTGCGATGGCCGGTACGTGGCTGCTCGGTTAGCGTTTAGGGAACCAGCTCTGATGCTTCGTGCTGATGTTCGTGAACGGACTTTGATTGCGACCTGGAATATATTACACTCATGATACAGCATTCAACAACTCCTTGTTGAATTGATGATAATCAGATATAAAATCCATTATGACATGACCCGAAGGCTATTTAGAAAGTTTTGGTTATATACTGCTTTGATAGTTTCTCTTAAAAAAGAGTACCCAAAAATATATTTAAAAACAGACTGGTTGCAATCCCGTGTCACTTAAAAGCTTAGGCTGTTCTTTATCTTAAATACTAGATGAAATACATAGATATTATGTTTTGTATTTGAGTCGAGCCTATTGATGCAGTAGCAGAAATTTTGAACAAAAATAGAGTTGGGACTAGTTCACGTTAATAGGTGAGCTAGTCACATTATCATATGTGAGTATGATGTTGTGTTAGTACATTGTAGAAACTAACCTAAATTTAACTAATGTTTTGATTTAAAATTAAAATGGTCAATATAAAGTTAAACTTCTATTACGGTGGGAATATGGGTTAGGAAAACAATTGTAAAATAATTTTAGTTGAAAACTTGATATTTTCTAGTTTGGCGTGTTAAATAATTCGTAGTTTTGATGAAACTGATGAAGATCTGTACATATATACTCGCAGGAGGAGAATGAATAGAAACAAATGTATTAGTGCCCCCATAAAGCTTTTTACTTAATTACTAAATGTCACGCCA